CTTACATTCCCACCAACAGTGTAGGAGAATTCCTTTTTCCCCTCAGCCTCACCAGCTTTTATTATTTTTTATTTTTATAAATTGGTCATTCTGACTGGAGTTGCTTCAGTGGAAGAAGTGTAGTTCCTTTATAAATGTTGGTTTTGATCTGGATCTCCCTTATGTTAAGGGATGTTGAGTATCTTTCCATATGCTTTCTTGCTATTGTATGTCTTCCTTAGAGTAGCTTGTTCAGCTAATTTTGCCATCTTTTAATTGGGTTGATCATTTTCTGTTAGGTAAGCTGCTTGAGATCTCTGTACATTCTGGTTATTAGTCCCTTACCTGAGGCATAATTTGCAAATATATTCACCCATTCCAAGGATTGTCAATTCATTCTAATTATTGTCTCTTTTACTGAGCAGAAGCTTTTAAAACCGATGTAGTTGCACTTGTCTATTTTGGGGATTATTGCCTGTGCTTTGAGAGTCTTATTTAAGAAGTCTTTGCCTGCTCCAATGTCTCCAAGAGTTTTCCCTATGTTACCACCAGCAGTTTTATAGTTTGAAGTCTTAGGTTTAAATTTCTGATCCATTTTAAGTTGATTTTTGTTACTAGTGAGACATAGGGGTCCAGTTTCATCTTTCTGGAAGTGAATGTCCAGTTTTTTTCAGCACTATTTGCTAAAGAGATTTTTTTCCCCCACTGGATCAACTGGTGTCATTTGTCAAAAATCAGTTGGCTGGGGACCAGCAGTTAGTGTAATGGCTATGTCGCTGAACTCCCATGTAGTCGACCATGGTTCAAGTCCTGGACCCAGTGGCTTAAACTCACACCGGGTGCATGTGTGTGCATGCCCAAGATTATGAGAGGAGAATGGAGGAGAAGGGACTGCGGCATGGCCATACCCCCAGGGGGTGATTTCTCACTTTCTGTCTCTCTGTATCTCTGGCAAGCGCACACGCCCTATAGCAAAAACCTCTCAAAAAAAAAATCAGTTGACTATATGTTTGGGAGGTTATTTCTGGGATCTCTATTCTGTTCCACTGGTCAACATGCCTGCTTTTGTGCCAATACCATGCTGTTTTTATTATTATGGCTTTGTAACATATTTTAGGATCAGGGAGTAAGATTTTTTTTTAAGTGTTTTTACTGTTAATCCATGGCCACATGTGCCAAGGTACTATTCTGTCTTGGTAGAAATTGACTTTTAAAGAAATGAGTTAGCCTACTCCTAGGCAAAGATTATCTTTGCCTATAAATAGATGGATTATAAATAGATGGATTAAGGAACTATAAATAGATCGATTAAGATGCCTCTATCTGACTCAACTGATTAGTCTTAGTTAGCATCTCTGAAATGAGACATTCTGACATTCTGTGCCTGAAAATTTGATAGCACAGGGCCTAACACAATGCTTTGCATACAATAGGTACTCAATAAAGTGTTGTTAAAAGCAGGTTCCTTTCAAGGCCCTGGACCCACTCTTCTCGTCTACCAGCTCTCTACTGCTTAAAGTCTTCCCCCTGGAATATATAACTATTCCTAGCTCAGGCTTAGGACCATCAGTGATTCACTTTACAACACTGCTGATCTTGCTGCTGCCATTCCCACTAATCCCATCACTGCCACCATTAGAGACTGATACTCTTCCTGTGATGCAGAGTGCCCTCTCTCCTTGCTCCATGTGGAAGTAGACCTTTTCCTTACCAGCATGAGAGCTCTTTCAGTGGACCTTAGGAAGTCTGGCTCAGAAATGGCCATGGCCTCTCTAAGCCTCTTCAGATGGACAGCTCCATACTGTCAAGAAGGAACTTACACACATAGTGGGACTAGGGGTGTCTACGTCCCCAGGCCTCCCCATAGGCTACGCCTTCTCTACAAACCAGCTCTCCAACAGGACTCTGGGACCTTTTCATTCTCTCCCATCTTGGTCTGTCTCCCCTGACTTCCTGAGTTACTCCCCTCACCTCTGGACTTCGTGCATGGTGACAGGAATGGAGGTGTTGGTAACCTCACTGGCTTTCATAAAACAGGACCCTCGGGTCCTATCTCTATACCACAAAATTCCAGAGCTCTGCATACAGATAAGCGCATTCAGAGTACTCACTACCCATGGATAAATAAAAGCCATCTCTTCCTGGAATGAAAATGAAACACAGAGGAGGAGACAGCAAGAACAGGTGGTGTTTAGAATGAAAGGAAAAGGCTGAGTAAGCAAATTAAGGTCCTTTCTCTGAAAAGTAAAGCCAGGCAGAGTTACCATAAGGGTTTCTAATGCTCAAGCAGAGCTTAATACTCAAAATGGAGCCTGAACAAGAGCTGAGCACAGCAGCAAGAGGTTTCAGCCCTCAGTTAAAGTTCAGGGTGAGTGAAGGACATGGTCTACTTAATTCTAGTAGGGAACACCAGTTATATAAGATATAACGTTTAAATAATCATAGTTCAAACATACGATTAATTTATTTGAGTAGACTGACCAATAGATCAAAAGACAGACAGATGATAGAAATACACTATCATTCCATGAAATACACACATTATTAAATCTTGCTTAAATCATTTGTGCTCTCGCTTTGAGAATTTATTCCTTTTCTGGAAAAAGCTGTGATTGACTAAATCATGTGCTAGATTCCTTCTCTTTAGCTCTTATCAGGAAAAACCTACAGCCCCTAACCAAAGGCATCACTTTTACTTAATTACAGATAATCAGGTTGAAGATATATAGCTCAGAAACAAACCAAACTGACATGAAGGCAAATGGCACCAGAACCAAACCAATGGTCTGGCCAATGAATACTAAAGTGATCTACATTCATTATATCATATTCAGATGATCTGAAAATTTATATATCACCCCAAGTTATTTATTACACCTGTTCCCATCTCACCCACCCCCAAACCAAAAAAAAAGTGTTCATTTACAATCTTTCACATGCACTATGTAGTTGGGTTTATTTTTTCATCATTTTGCAAGCACCTCACAGTACTCACTGGGCACTCTTTGTGCATCCATGCAGGAAGCATGCAGTTACTGCTCCCTACCCCATTCCTCACGGGCTGCACTGGGTGTGTGTTTCAGAGAGGCGAGGGTGGGGGCATGTACATTGCCATTGAATCAGACCTCCACTTATTTGTAATAAACACTTGGCAGACAGAAAGAAAAATTCTCAAAGGCTATTTATTCAGCTCCCAACATCCTTGGGGTGCCGTGTTGGGCACTGTAATTACAGGAAACATTTTCAACTGTGCTTCTTTTCGGACCGCCTGGCTGGGAGGCCCAGGGAGTAGGCCATGGTAACCACTCTTCATTTTCCTGGGCCATTGTAACCCTAATGAGATCCATTCTGATTGCAATTAGAACAGTGCGCAGCAGGTGAAGCCATATGGAGCGTGGTCATCTTGAAGCAGGAGCTGAAAAGGAGCTTTTGTCTACCCAGCTCTCTACATGCATTTTCTAAAAATCAGGTCCCACCTGGTCCTGCCACAGCCCTATAAAGAATGGGAATTGTCTGAGGGCCGAAGCTTCAATCCATGCCCACATTACAGGAAAAAAACAAACAAACAAAAAAATGTGTGCATGGGGGTAAACTACTGAGTGCCTACTGTGTGCCAGGTGCTATGCTGGTTTTTTTCTCATGTCATCTCATCAACCTCTCAGTGAGCCAGCTAACAAACAACACTCTACAGAAACTAAGGCCCAGAGAGGTCACTAGGCTTGCCCTAAGTTGCACAGCTAAAACAAGACAGCACCAGGATGACCAGGACAGTAACGAATAGCCAGACTCTCATGCTTAAATGTTTTATATTACAAGGGGAAGTTGCCATTGAAATCTCCATCTTTCAGTGTTTTTGGCTTTTTCAGTTTTTCATTGCTTGACTTGTATCAACAGATTATCATAAACTATTCCATTGTCCAAAGAGTCCCTAAGCTCTATCTGTGCCATATTGTATGACAATTGACTAGGGACACTTGCTGACTACATAGAAGCCCTACCATCTCCCTGACCTTTCCATCTTCCATTCAGGGATGGATGAACTGAAAATCAGATCCCAGAATCACATGCCTTATATTGCTCACCAGAACTATTGCCTGGATATAGTCTGGACAAACTGAGGTTAGAAAAACTCTTTCATGTACATAATGACTTTTATTATTATTATTATTATTATTATTATTATTATTGGAACCCTCTGCTCCCCCCAACTCACAGCTGCACCCACCACAGCTAACCCAGTCAACAAGAGAGACAAAGGAAACTTAGAGTCCACAGCTTAGAGTCCACAGTTCAGGGTCACATTGGTCTATTAAAGCCTAACAAAGAGTAAAGCTTTATGCTGAAGAAAACAGGTTTACCTTGAGTTTCTGAATTGAGAGGCTTTTGAAGGAGCCACAGAAAACCTTTAATATTAAGCAAAACCTATTATTCCATAGACTGCAATAAAACAGTATTTAATTCTAGGTGACCACGTGGCCTAGCATACTAACCCTCAGAAGAATATGCACTATTCAAAGAAAAATACTTAGGTTCTAATTAGAGAATTGAATTATTGGGTATAAACACCAATAAATGACAGAATTATGCATTCGTATGTAAATATGTAAAATGACTGATGTGAAGATAAATTATTTTCTAAAATAGAACAATTTATTCTCCTCAAGATCTGTGTGAATTCCCAACATTGACTCCAAGTCTCCCTTGTGCCTCCAGTTTTCTGCACAACAGCCCCTTCCCCAAATCAGTGCCCCCACATGCAGGCTCACCCCTGCTCCAAGCTCAGGATCAGTGCTGCAGCTTCTTGTCATGGTGGCTTTAAGGCACCTGATTTAATCTTTGAGGAACTTGGCATCAGGTTATCCTTTCTTGCCAGCCCTTCTGATCTTGGGTCCCAATGTTATTCTGGCCTTCTGCCTAACTGTTAGTACTAGGCTCCGAATGTCCTGGCACTGGTCCTGTAGCTGGATCTCTTTTTAGATTCCCTGGCCCTTAGTGGCACTCTGCTCACTACCTCCTTCTAGAGGCCTGGAGAGCAAGGCTGGGCCCCAAAGATGTCCTCCTACAGGGAGAGATGCCTGCCCACCAACCCCAGCCCAATGTCTGGGCTCTATGTCTGTGTGGCAGCTGGCCTTCTCAAAGCTGTCCGTGCTCTGCCTGGTTCACGGTAATCCTCTCACCCCAACTCCAAGTACTCACACCAGGTAGGCAGGCTTGGTTCAAAGACAGCAAAACTGAGTTACCAGGTGGCAAGGTATTTAAGGCAACTGATTCCACATGGTTGACCATACAGATAGAATCTTTACCATTGTACACCCAACCTCTAGGAACATGACTAGCATATAGTAGGCACTAAGTAAAGATCTGTTACATGAATGATATATAAGGAATTATAAGTTTGGTCTAATTCTCATCTCCTGTGTGGAAAAAGAAAAATAGATGGGACAGTCCAGGGTATAAGAATAATCAGAACAGAAAGAATATTCTTGTTTTGGAACCCAAAAGGGAGTATGAGGGATTCCTTCTTAAATATTCAGTATCTTAATTACTCAGTGTTCATCCCAGAGGGAATGGAAGGGAAAAAAAAAAAACACACACACAACAGGGTCACATGTGAGGAACACATGTGAGGAACACACCTATCTACATCTCATTAAGATAATCAATTATTGGGAATTCCCCAGAAGATAGACAGTCTTTCCTCTTACCTTCAAGAGGTGACCCTAGACACTACACAATTTCAGGGTCATTTTGAAATTGTATTAGAAATTCCTGACTCCACACCTTCTGTGAACATTTGCAAAAGAAAGAGAGAAAGTAATTAATGAGATTCGATGAGCTGGTGGAGAGTTAAATAAGGTCCTGGTAGTGGGTGAAGCAGATGATATAACACCACAGTGTTCTCCTCATTCTCCCACAATGGCTCCCAATGACAAGAGGCCTCTTATCTACATTTCTGACCTAATCCCAAGCACTTGATTTTTCCTAAAGAATTATTTAATTTTATTTATCCTTATTATTGTTGTTTTCTAATTTGCTACAGGGCACCTATACTCACTAGAGACAGAAAGAGAGAAAGAGAGAGAGAGAGAGCAAAACAACAGGTCCAGGACTCAAATCATGGTCGGTCACGTGGGATACAGTGCCTTAACCACCACATTTGAAAAAGGTAAATCTCGAGGCCAGCAGATGGTGTAATGGTTACATTGCTAAATTCCCACATAGTCGACTGCAATTCAAGTCCTGAAACTGGTGGCTTAAAACTCACACTGGGCACTTATACATGCATACCCAAGATCCCCAGAGGTGAGTGGGGGAGAAGGGATTGTGGCCATCCCCCTGGGGGGTGATTTCTTGCTTTCTGTTTCTTTTTCTCTCCAGCAAGTGCACAAGCCCTATAGCAAAAATCTCTCAAAAAAGATAAATAAATAATAAGAAATTTTTTTAAAAAAAAAGAAAGAAAAGAAAACGAAAAAGAAAAAGAAAAAGAAAGAGGTAAATGTAGCCACGAAATACGTTTACCCTGTTGTTCCTGGGCTACCATTTTGGCTAGCATATCTAGGACTTAACTAATATACACTGCATTCACACTGGGAAAAACCATTTTGTAAGCTGTAAATATGTACAGTGATTAAACATAAATAAAAATATATTTTAAAAGATTTATCAAGAAAATAATAGAAGAATATCATAACAAACAGAAGTAGCAGCAGCAGCAACAGGAGAATATCATAACCAAAAGAAGTAGCAGCAGCAGCAACAGGAAATATCTCTCATGCTCTAACATCATTAGCTACAGATACTTTTCTGAATCTACCACTGCAGGCTTTTCCTGAATAAACAAAAGTGCACGTGCATTTCACCCCTTTTCATTTCTTTTATCAGAGGCAGCATTAAAAAATACAGTTATCACATATGAACAGCCAAAAAGCAGATGAAAAAGCATTCAACATTCCTATCATAAGGGAAATGCAAATTGAAACCACATTGAGATACCTCTTAACTCCAGTTAGAGTGGCTAAAATTTTAAAAATAAAACAATGAGAATTGCTGATGATGCTATGATGAAAAGAGAACTCTCTTACAGTGTTGGTGGGAATGTAAATTGGTACAACCATTCTGGAGAACAATATCGAGGTTCCTCAGAAACCTACAAATAGAACTACTATATACCCCAGCCATTCTACTTCTGGGTATCTACTCAAAGGATAGGAATACATTCAGTCAGAAAAAAAACACTTGCAGCATTATTCATAATTGCTAAGACATGGAATCAACCTAAATGTCCGAGAACAGATGAATAATTGAAAAAGTGTGGCATATATACATGATAGAATACTAATTATCCATAAAAAACAATGAGACCATGGCATCTGATAGAAGTGAACAAATATGGAATATTGAATGCTAAGTGAAGCAAGTCAGACTATAAAAGAGAGGCATTGTATATTCCCATTCAATATATACCGAATGTCTGCATTCTATGGCAGAAACTGAAAGGCTGAAAGGTATAAAAACATGGAAAGAAACTACGGATACTATAGACAGTGTGGGAGGAGGGTGGACAATGAGGAACAGGAGGGAGGGAATCAAGGGGGGAAAAGGCAAAACATTTAACGGAACAAAAAAAAATGGGGAAAAAAAGCATATGAAAAAGTGCTCAACAACCCTCATCATGAGGGTAATTTTTAAATGACTTATTATTTGAAACGTTGTAGCACTTGAAATGTTTGTTTATCCTGATTTAAGAAAAAAGGTTTATTTTATATTTTTGCTATAGGGCATGTATGCTTGCTGGAGACAGAAACAGAGATGGAGAGCAAGGAAGTAACCTTTAGTGGTGATGGTTACAATGCAATCCCTTCTCCTCTATTTTCATCTCTGGATTTATTTTTTTATTTCATTTTCTTTCATACATTCAATCACATTATTATTTGGCTTACAAAATGGATATTTCAACAGGTGAACATTTCTCCCTAGTACAGTTGATAAAACTGTAAAATATCTTCCACAAATAATACCACATTTCTTTGTGCCATTAATGCTTTGCCTCCCTATTTTTCTTCTAAATGTCCTTCCTCAGACCCTCCTCTTTCACACACACTATATCTGGTCTTAACATCTATATACTGTGTTTTTTATATCCTTTAGTAAATTAGTTTCAGTCATAGAGTGCAGATGCTCAGTATATATTAAATGGGGACATACAATGCCTCTCCTTCATAGCCTGGCTTGCTTAACTGAGCAGTAAATCTTCCATATTATCCACTTCCTGTCTCTGGATTTTGAGCACTTATACACACACACATGCTTGGTATGTTTCTCAAGCCGCTGGGTCCAGGACTTGAACCGGACAGTCAGCCATGTAGAATCAGTCGTCTCAACCACCACACCTGATCTGCTGACCCAGAAAACTGTTTCTATAGCTTCAACAACTTGGTAAGGTTTACTGTTGTAAACAAAAATTGAAACATTCACTTTTTCTCTACCTGATCCCTCCAGAATTCAGATAATATTTCTGAGTATTTTTATGTTTATAGAAATACAGTTATTCTTAAAAGTTTAGTAATAATTCAGTCTCCTTTTAATAGGATACATGTGGAAACACTGGTTACATTACCAGGCTCCAGCTTATATGTCATACTTTCAGATATGACTAGATAGCATTAAGAAACCAAGGTCAGAGGCCAACAGGTGGCATAGTGGTTGAGGCGCTGGACTCCCACATGGTAGATCACTGTCTGAGTCCCAGGCCCGGAGGCTTGAAACTCATGCTGGGAGTGTGTGTGCAT